TTGGATTTTGTCAAGAACCTAGAAATGAATAGCAGGAGCACCAGACCAGAGATAGTAACAGTATTCAATGCATGGATGAATGGTAGATTTGTAACTATACAAGATGGACTCTGATGAGAAAAACCTTCTGGCATGACACAGTGACCCAACTTTCCTTGCAGTAGATGCAGTTATTGATTCAATGTAGTCATTCCACTTCAATTCAGTTGAAAATGTGAGGCCAAGAAAGCACAGTGTTGTTCTCCAGGGGTCTAGCATCAGCCATGCTGATGGCAGACAGGAAAGTTTCTTTATGGTGGGTAAATGAGAGAAGTTTAGTTTTGGTGGCATTAAAATTTACAAGCCATTTGAGACATGAGTAAATGGTAATATCATTTGAATAAATACCTACTTGAAAACTGATGACATCAGGAAAATCATTGATGAATATCATAAACAGTGTAGGATCCAGGATAGAGCCTTGGGGGACACCCATGTTCGTGTGAAAGGATCTGGATTCAAAACGATTTAATAGGAATGATTGCATTAAATCAAATAATTGTCCTGTAATATTGGAGCCCTGGAGCTTATGTAGAAGACAAGAATGCCAAACCCTGTCAAATGGCTTTGAGATATCTAAAGCCGCAGCTTGACCTTTGCCATTATTATCATAAGCTTCATATACATATTCAGTGATGACTGTAAGCATGTCAGTAGTAGACCTGGCAAAATAGAAGTCATATTGTTTGTCAGAGAGTAGTTAGCATTGATTAAAGCCTCAAATACTTTGTCAAAAAGTGTTAGGAGACTAATAAGGTGATAGAGAGGTCAGAAAGTTCTCCAGAGTTCTTAAAAACAGGATCTACATTGGAGAACTTTCAACAAGCTGGAAAGCTGTAAGCAGTAAGGCAATAGTTGTAGAGTTTGGAGAGGACCAGGGCCAACTCAGGAGCACATTTCTTTAGGATGACAACTGGGATCATGTCACCTCTGCTTGCCTTATGGGAGTTTAATTTAGAAATGCCATCTGAGATATGTGACAGGGGTTATCATATTAAATTGGCAATGTTTAACCTTCATGACCGCCAAAAAATGGTATGTCAAAAGAGCATTTATTCCCTTGATAACACTTTTATTGTATACAATTTTGACTCTCTTGACACTGTTTTTTTGTGGGCATGAAGGTCAAACATTGCCATAAAATTATATCAGCAGTCATCAAGAAAGGGACATTCTCACCTTGTATCTAATCTTGTGTACTAAAAGGTGTGTTGGGTAAGGTGTACTCATTGACAAATATTGCAATATTGTAATGGAATTGGGCAATTTTTGTGCTAATCTAGTGACACTTTAAAAAGAAGTACTGCATTTTAAGCCAGTAGGAGAATGAATAGGTCATTATATATTATTCCTTTATCCTTAGGAAAATAAAAGAAAAAATAGGAATGACATATCCCTGTGTATTTTCAAGAATTTTTTATAACAGGAAAATGTTGAGAAAAAAAAAGTACTACTCTTTACCATGAATGTAGCCACTTTCAGAAATTTGTAACAAGCTATTTTCAAAGCAACTTTACAAGAAAACAACTTATTAAAACTGAAATTTTCTTTTTCATTTAACAATAACTGAATTTATTTAGACAAAGTATCTATAAACAAAAACAAAATGTTTTGTTTTTTACCATCCTCTATCAGCCACAATGCTGGAGAAAGCATTACCTCGCACCATTGCTAGTCAGACATATTGCAAGAGCTACTACATTTCACGAGACTTGTCCCTTAATCAAGACACAATCCCACTAACCCTCTGAAGGAATGCCATCAAATGAGGACCAATAAACCCAGAAGTATCCATTGCCACTGGAGTAAAAATTAATCTGTCTGTAAGAGAAGAATATTTAACTTTTTTTTTTTATCTCCACCTTGCATGCGACAGACACCAGCTCAACTGCAGATCAAATTACAGTTGAAAATGTATTAGCACAGGTCGCATCCTAAATCAATGACTTCCACCCTTTAAAAGGGAAAATAGTAATCCCATCTGGCCACTTTCCATCACCACAGTCGAGGGCTACATGTTTGATTTGGGGAGGGAACCCAGCTGCATTCAGACCTCTTCTGATGATGATGTTTATTGCTGCGTGCTTTGGAAAGTGCGTGGCATTATGATGACAGGAGTGAGGATGCAAACCAATGGAAGTTCCACATCTGCATCTGTGACGCTCACATAATTTGAGCCCAAGACAATTCATGACTCCAACCCGAATGCACTCATCATCCAGAAGAGTACCGGTAGATGAGGAAGGTATTGCATTGAGCCAGGCACCATTACTCGGTTGTGAAGAAGATAGTAAACAGGCCAGGCAGTGCTGATTCAGAGAGAGACTCAAATTAGTAAAACTGGCCTCGCTTCTTATTTTATACCAGCTTTTCTGTTTTGATGTGTCTTGTGGGATAAAAAGTAATTCTTTGGCCCAGACGCTGCATACTTGTTTGAAAGAGCTACCTGAAAAACATTGAGATGATCCACCAAGTATCTCATCAATTAATTCACAAGTGGAAGACAATGAAGAAAGATATGCTGAAAGGACCAAGTCTGTCGCTGATCAAAGGCCCAGGCCTCTGAAACTAAAAGGGAACTTCACCTGTCTCCAGTTTGTGTTGTTGAAATTAACATTTCAAATTAAAACTATTCAAATTCTTGGAAACTGATTTTTCTATTTTCTTTCTTACAACACAATATAGTGAGTGTGTGAACATGTTTTTGAAAGATGAAAGACATTTAAGAAAAGAATGTTTTTTTAATTATTGTTTAAAAAGTCAACTTAACTAAAAGGACTAACATAGCTTTTTTTGTTTATGAAACTTTTCATTTGGGAAATGTTTTATTTAAATTTTATAAATGATGCAACATTCATTTTTCTATTTTCTTTTTTTCTGTAGATTTTAGAAGTAAAATCAGTAGTAGAATTAATTTTAATTAATTATATTCATTATATTGTTGCAACTATTCAAAGACAATTATTTTACAAAATGAAAATTTACTTCTTTCTAGTGTATAATTTATCACTTTATTAAATTTTTAACAATATTATTTTCGTCTACCGACCTGAATATTCAAAAAATAAAGCGCCCTCTGGCAATATGTGTATATGCACTAAAAAAAAAAAAAAAAAAAGCTTACTTTGAAAGTGATAAAAAAAAAACTATGCCGGAATAGATAAAAATTCATTTACTTCTTTAGAAACTATGTAAATGGCCTGAAGTTTGCAAATAAAACAGACTATCGTCGCTTGGTGCTAACTGCAGTGCAGTGTCTACTCTACTTTCATGGTAATATTTTCTTAGCAAAATCTATTCTAGAAGCTAAACAGTAAGAATCATCTACCTAATAAAGAAATAAAAAAGCAATGTGTGACAGTCGTCATGAGAAAATGGTTCCAGTGGCGGATCTACAAAGATGGAACTAAAATGAAGCTTAAAAGCTTCAGAGCCACTCTAATTCCAGGGGAGTCCGGAAGCAACCATTTTTTTTTATTTTTTTTAATGAATAAATTTTTGAACAAAATCTATGTTTTTTTTTCGTGTTTGTTATTAAAATGTGTCAATTTTTATAGAATCATAAAGAAAGCCAATGGATTGTTGAAAAAATGAAAGGCAGCTAATGTCGGCCTTTTTTTTTTCTTTCTTTCTTTTTATTAGAGAGAATATGTTCTTTGAACTCATTTCATTTCTTATGTCCTCAAAAATCCCCAGTTGAGTAGTTGGTCAACAAATTTAAAAATTTCCTTGGAAGCTTGCAGCACCCGAACCCACAGCTGGATGGGCTTGTTGAGCTCACCAAAATTTATTCAGAGATATTTACAATATTTTGACAGTAGATTCATCGAATCTGTTGTTGCTAGTTGAGGTTGAGGAGGAGTTAGAAAAACATGTAGGTGAATTGTCCTGAAGAGTGCCATGGGAAAAAATGGAAAAAGGTTGCGGGGAATTGGAAATCTAAAGCGACTGTATTCCTGAAAAAGTACTAAGAAAAGTACTAATTTGATAATTGAGACTTGCTGTCACTTTGCCTCCAGTCAACAGTTGCAATATTGATCCTCGTATGAAAAAGAGATTTTTATGGCTCTACAAAAAAGGATGCTGAGAATATCATGAACTATATAATAAAACATGAGTAACGACTAAGTTTTAGAGAAAATGGAAACAAGGAAAAAAGATAATCTACCTACAACAATGAGAAAGAGACAGTTGAAATTTCTAGGACATATACTGAGGAAAGAGGACTTGAATAATTTGACATTCACAGACTATATTGAAAGCAAGAAAGACAGGAGAAAGCAGCAAGTAACCTACCTAACCAGCTTGTACAAATGGTTGACAAAACTGGGTGGGACTGGGAGGGATGGTGAAAAAAACAAAACAAACCTTACAAGAGCTAACAATAGATGAAGTCGTGAAGATTAATGATCGCCTACGCCCTGAAGAGGAGGAGGAGAAGAAGGAGGACTAATGATGAGATAAGGAAATGCTTTTTTCTTTATTTTTTGCAAATTTGTAAAAAGTTCTCAATTGATCAATCATTAACTGCGGCTAAGAAGAGTAAGAGACAAACAAATCCTTTGTAACTAAACCGCTAAAAAAAACTCTCCAAGTTGAATAAAGTAAAAATTTAAAAAAATCTTTTATTTCATCCGATTTATCATTATTAAAATACAAATTAAAAAAAATTAACATTTTTAATTCCTTGGAGTACTTGTTTTTTTTTTTAATTTCATGCTAAATGAAAGAATATTTGTTTACTTTTTTAAACTCACAGTGAAAAAGTTGATGCGGATATTCTTTTTCTCTTCCCATTAAAAAAAAAAGAATAAACAAATAATAAGCATAAATAATAATAATAACAAAGAAAGACGTACATTTAATTTTAAAACAATAGGCACACGTGCGCACATTTGTGGTATGTAACCGGAAGTCTACTTATACCACTAAATGTTTATTTCCGGTGCACGTGGAGAACGATGGATTTAGAAGAAGGAACACGCGAGTTCCATAATCTTTTATCAAAAATACATCCAAGATTGCTTCCACAGTTTATATCTTGGATTCAAGACCATGTAGAAGTACTCGAAAGGGGTAAATTTTACAATTACACTTTAATTACATATGTTTTACCGTTAGTAATTAACTATTGCTGTTGTTTTTATTTACCGGTGTTTGGTTGGATGGAAGTATTATTTTTTTTCAACTTTGCTATTAATGGGCGATTCCTTTAGTATTGAGTATATTTTGTCTTTCTGCCAGTTAACACTTCAAACGTGGACGAAATATTTTAAAACCTCCCTCTACGCACTTGGGGGAAAAAAATGTAATGTTTTGATATTTTTTTTTAGTATCCAGTACTGTTCGTTGTCTTAAAGTAATAAAAACGTAATTGAAAATTCTAACTACAAGTTAATTTAAAAAGAAAACGTATGGTCTTTCTCTTTATTGTCGTATTTTCACTTGCAACCTGTTGTTTGTCCCTTAGATGCTGTAAAAATAATTTTTTTTTCATTCTTAAACGTGATTTCAAAACTATTCGGTATTTTGCCTTAAAATAAGTTTATTTAATAATTAATAGCACTCTGCCTTAGTAAATCACTCTTTAGAGGAAATATTGTAAATTTTACTCGAGGCTACTTAATTACGTGTCTTGTTGCTGGCCTCTTAGTCCACAAGGAATAATGTTCATGGAACTTACGTCATATGATACAAAGAGTCCGCGCGCCCACTCGAAAACCATGTGGCAGAAAAGTAAAACCTACGCATATAGGAACAGAACCTTTTGGGAAGCTTCAGGTTTACCCTCCAATTCTTTCTCAAAGGAGAAACATTTCCTGCAGATTTGGCCACTTTGGGAGTCTAAGCTTGACGCTGCTTGGTGAACCAGCAAAGCATGATATGACACCTCTTAAAAAAAAAAAAAAAAAAAAAATTAAAGATCTTTTCATGAACTTTTTTTTTTTAATAAATTTTATTTTGCTTTCTCTACCAATGACATTTTATTTTAGTATTTATAACTGCTTATTTTTATTTTAAATTACTTTCTGATTCAAAAAGTTTTGATGACACCTCCCAAATGCACATTTTCTGTAACTTAATCATTTTAACATTTTTTTTTTTAAACGTTCACAGTCACACTCAGTAAAAACTAATTACGCCTCCACCCCCACTGATATTGTGACTACTTTTCATGCATTAAAATCTGCTTTTATAACATTAAGTTATTGAACGCCTGGAAACTATTTTCAGTCGAGAATATCAGCATAAATAAACACAAGGTCCTTTTATTGAATAAACTTTATTCAATAAAGTCAAGAACCGGGAACATACACCTTTTGAATTTTTCATTCCACATAGCAAACTAATCATCCATCAAATCCTGATTTGTTGGTTCATGTATTGCTTTGATTTGCATCTTTGCCATATATCTTCCACGTAATTTGCGATTGCGGGGGTTGTAAAAGCATACCGCCACGGAATTTCTAAAAAAGGAAGAAAAAAAAAATTATCTTTTACCTTCTTTGAACTTAAATTTCGGTTTTATTAATTTAATTGAAAGATAATGACCTAAAAGCCTAAAATCAAAAGTCAAACAAAACTAATCTGAATTAAAAGAAAAAATTTCCGTATAAAAACTATTTTTAGGCATTTAAAAACAAGGTACTTTTTTCTTTTTTTTTTTTTTTTTTTTTTTTTTTTCGTCACTAGTGACTCAACTCATTGAATCGTCATCGTATACGAAAAAATGTAAACAACTCTAAAAACCTCATAAAAATTCAATATTTATCCTACACTACAAATATATTTCGGAATCTACTAGTTAAGGATTAATTAACTAGATTTTCTAAAGGTAATGTTTACCTTTTTTTCTTAAAACAATGAAAATAACGTCTTATTTACTCACGGTGGCCTGTAATGTTAAAGGATAAAAATAAAGAAATGTGTAGTTCCACCCCTTTCCAAAAAGCGTGTGAAAAAGTAAAAATAAAACCTAAAGAAATATGGATGGACAGCAGTGCAATAATCAAGGATTTGTTTAAATAAATTTTCTTTAACGTTATGTAAACAGTTTACTTTAATTTTTTTATTCTATACGCGTTTATTAAACTTAGCATAATTAACAAATAAGGCATTAAGGCGCTATCAAAACAAAAATATAAAAATTAGCGTTCGATAATGTGAAAAGAAAAACATTTAACAGTTACTCCTTTAAGAGAAAATTTTAGAAAAATTACAGTGCAAGTATTCTTTTGTGTATGAAATAGTTTTGTCGTAATTCTGAAAATTTTCTTGGTGAGGCAGAACAGATTGTGCAGGAAAAAATAGATTTGGTTTTAGAATAATAAAAACTAAAAAAAAAAAAAATTCACATTCAATTATTGAAGTATTGATTCTTGTATGCAAATATTTTTTTTATCATTTCACCCCAAGCAAAGCAATAAAACCACTAAGATGCAAGGGGTTACTGAGTGTGAGAATGAGAAAAAAATTAAGGAAAGAAAACAATAAAAGAACAGGAATTGAGAAAACTAAGATAATAATTGATATTGAAATTTTTGAAGATCAAAGTTGGAAAGAAAGATGCTGGAAGAGTTCCACAAGCAAGAGATGAAACTGGTAGCATAGAACTTATTTACAAGCCATTTCAACTGTAAAATGAGGATACCTTAATACTGTATTTAAATGATAGGTACCATAAAGGAAAGTTCATCAGAACAATTACCATGAAAATATTTATTGAAAAGGCACGGGGGGGGGACCTATGTTACAGTAATCAAAAAGTGACTTAAACCAAGATACCAGGTTAGATCAATAACATTCCAGATTCTTTGAACTTTATCAAGAATTTTGTAAAACATACCAGAAGCTCCAGACCAGATATGGCAGCAATATTCAATGCATGGATTTTATGCATGGATAGACATAAAAATGGGTAAGATAGATTCTAGAGAGCTTGTCTAGCATGACAGCAAACCAACCTTCTTAGCAGCAAACCTAGCAATTGATTCTATATAATCTTTCCATTTTGTGTCAATGGACCAAGAAAGCACAATAAGTCACACTCCTGGAGGTTAGTATCAGTCATGCTGATGGAAGTAAAAAATATTGATAACTGTTTTGTTTTAAAGGCATTAAAATTAACAAGCCATTACTTGCTCCAGTTAACACCTACTTGTAGGTCATTTTTGAGATAAGCAGCCAATTTGACCTTACCAAACTGATCAGATTGTATTATTAAGGCAGGAGTAAATAGCTGTTATGAACATAGGTACTGAGTTCAAATTTAATAAGAAAGATTGAATCTGTTCAAAAATTTATTCAGAAACACCATAAACTTTCAACTTATGAAAAAGAAAGCAATATGCCAAAACCTGTCAAATGCCTTTGAAATATCTAAAGCAATGGCCCAAGTTTCACCATTATTATCTTAAGCTTGATAGCAATAATTGTTAATACATCAGCAGTTGACATAGAGAAGCAAAAGCCATATTACTCATCTGAAAAATTACCCTGTTCTAAACCAATTCAGAGTTAATTAGAGTCTCTAGTTTTTCTATCTTCTATATGAATAAACGCAAAATTAATTCTCCCTCAGAATTCTGGGGTTAAAAGGACTCAACTCTATAGTAATTTTCACATGGTATTTACTCCGTCTCCCCACTTAGACGAGATGTGACACAAGGTCTTTAAGGTGGGGACCTGAGCGTGAACACCCAGGCAAGGAAGAAAAATTGCCCACAGCCCCTGCAACTGTTGGTTGTGCTGGCCTCAGTGCGAGCACCAATCCCTCCCTCTGGTGCCATGAGAGGGTGCAGCCTTGGGCAGCTGTTCCCCAGTGCTGGGGACCTCTCAGTATAATTTTCCGCAGTTGCAACTTTGTACTTTGACAGAGTAGCCTGAGTGCACTCTGCCCAAAGACAGACTCTAACTTTTCTTAGAAAAATTACCAGGTTATGTTTTCATTCATTCAAATACATGGGTTTTATTTCTGTCAACACCTGTTAAATGTTATTCAGTTTCATCATGCTTCATTTGTTTAAAAATGGCTAAAATTCTAATGTTTAGCTAACTGAATAAATACAAATGTTTTCTTTTATGTTTACAACCAATTTATGAATGAAATTTGCATTTAAAATTTTTGTTTTGAAGATTTCAAGTAGTGAATATATCTTTGCAAAGCGATAGCGAGTGAGCAAAGCCTGCTAGTTGATAAAAAAAGGTTGAAGGCTAATAGACTGATAGTTAAAAGGATCAGACAGCTTACCTGAGTTGTTAAAGACTAGAACTACAGAAGAGGATTTCCAACAAGCAGTAAAGTATTGTAGAGTTTAGAGAGAACAATAGAACATTTCTTAAGAAATATTGCAGGGATACTACCAAGTCCACATGTTTTGTAAGGATCTACTTTAGATATGATAGCAGAAACCATGGACAGATTTATATGCATAACACTCAATAGAGACTCAGTTCTAAGTGGAAAGACAGATGAGTCGAGAGTAGAATTTGAAGGAATTTACAAGTAAAACATTCTGTTTATCAGATTGACTATAGAGAAGAGAGATAGAAGATTTATTGTTATTTAATACACTATTACTGAGTTGCCAATAGTTGAGAGAACCAAACTTGTTAAAGGCTATAGAGTGCTTCGTTCTGTCAGCAAACAAAGACTTAAACTTTTCGAGGACACATTTAGAATTGTTATGATGTTAATTTGGGGTTAATAAAGACAAACGCCAAATAACATGTAACAATAAAATGGGGTTTATTCGGTTGGTAAGTTGGTACAGAAATCGCCTGAGTAGTCTATAACTAACTCGGCTCAAGAACTTCTCCGACTCTGTCTTTTGACATGCCACTATTTAACGTCCTTGTTTGTAGACGAGTTCATCTTCAAGAGGGGTAGTAGGTTCCTACACAACACCTCCCCCTTGAGATTAATTCCGGAGGAATTAATATATTTTCCTTTTGGGATCTGGACTTAAACGTTCCACCCTAGTTCTTTTTCTTTTGCCTGTCCTTCTTTGAACAACTGTTTCAGGCAATGGTGGAGTCGGTATATCAAATAAATCATATAATACCTCCATTGGTTC